AAATTTATATAACAGAAACAGATTTAGCAAACTAATTTTGAGAGATTCAATAATATTAGATGGTAAACTAATTTTGAGATTTAACAATATTAGATTTAGCTAAAACAGACTTAGTAAAATAATCTAATAAAAAATTATCTTACTAAGTCCGTTTCCATATATAAATCTAATAGTTTACAATATTTTCAAATCCAATAACCTTCCAATGCTAATATAAATTTGTCCACTATTTGGGATATAAAGAATATTATTTTTTAAAAGTGATGATATATTAAGCCAGGGCAACCTGTGCTCTGAAAGATCATTATATAAACTAAATACTAATAATAATTTTTTTATTATTATTACTAATACTTTTTTGCAGAAGCAATGACATTCCGGCTGCAAGAAAGTTATGCGACCATATATTAGTGTTGGTTGGGTGCCACAGGTGTTACAAAAGAGCAGGTGGTGAAGATGAAAAACTAAATTTTGAAGGCTTTGACGATATGAATAGGTGGTTTAAACCAAAAGATCCAATAGAGCACTGTCGAAATGCTCTCATTTGGAAAAAACAATTGACAGAAGATGACAGAAAAAAGCATATTAGTAGGACTCATGTAAGATGGTCCGAAATGCTTCGCCTACCTTACTACAACCCAATAACATACTTAATAATTGACCCAATACATTGTTTGTTTTTGGGTGTAGTGCGTTGGTTTGTGAAGAGACTGTTGATTGAAGGTGGAAAAATTTCAAAGCCCAGTCTTGAATTGATGGAGAAACGAGCACAAAATATTAAAGTGCCAACTAATATTGGAAGAATCCCATTCAAAATAGCGACAGGTAAAGGATTTTCCAATTTTACTGCTAACCAATGGAAATCCTTCATCATAATATATGCAATTCCGTTAATGTGGGACCTTTTGGATATCGAAAACAAAAAAATTTTAGCTAATTTTGTAAGGGCATGCTTCTTATTAGTAGCACAAATTATTGATAAAAATATGTCGGATAAAGCACAAGATCGATTGTTACAAGTTGCTCGTCTAATTGAAAAAAATTATGGTCTGGGCAATTACTCTGAATATTTATTTATCTCTTCATATTATCGAATATTGCAGGGATTATGGCCCAGTATACTCTTTCTGGTGCTATTCATATGAAAGGATGAACGGTGTTTTAAGTAAGTTTACACCAATTGACTCTTAATATAACTTAGATACAGTAATACTGTATATTGTGGCTGATGCTGGAAATCTTAATTATTTTAATATGAAATTTTCAAAAATTTTTAGGGCTCTTTGTTAGAGTTTTTTTTTAGTATTGGGTTAGGGTTTAGTGGTAGTTTTAATAATAAAAGAGTATAAGTAAATTTTGGTAAAGTTTTTATTTTTAAATCAAGGGCTTTAATTTTCAGCATCAGCCGCGACACTGTAAACTCTTAACATTCATTAATTTCTTTCTAATTGCATGTTTATGTTATATGAGAGTTATTATGTACTGATAATTGAATGTTATTCTTTTTAGGTTCTTATCCCAATAGTCACTATCAAATTAAGCCTGAGTTATTACAAATAATTATGCAAAATTGGCAACTCAATAATCTTGTATCAGCACAATCAGATAATTTGAAACTTGTTAAAATTTTAAAGTTTATACAACCAAGAGCAACTTTGGGAAGTTTGTTAATTTATGATGAATTTGAGTTTGACGAACTTAGTCATTTCAGACAAATTTATTAGCTTGAAGTTGAAGACATGATTACCAGTGCTAAATCTTTCCCTGAAGAAATGCTATCACCTAAAAAAATCAATGTTGGATTGCCAAATGATATATATAATACTTTAGTAGAGTATTATAATAATGCATATAACACAGAATTTTTATCA